AATACTATCTGCTGCTACCCGAGACAACGGCTATGCTCAATGTACCGTCAAGTGACACCCTGCAAACCTTCTCCTGTGACACGGCGTACTTTACAGTCACTTAGGCAAAAAGGATTGAAGCCAGACTGATTTCCAGTCACGGGGTTTTTTTCTGCCAGGAATCTACTGCTCTTGAAGAAACTCATCCTCTAAGAGAACAAGTACTGGTTTTGTTAAACTTTCAGGACTGTAGCAAAGCCTATACGTAATATATCTGGAAAGAAAGGATGGTACGCTGAAATAAGGGCAGAAATGTCTCTGCATCATCCCACCAGAATAGGTTAGCGTGCCAGAGACACTGTTATACCTGCTAAACCAGAACCTGCACCAGTAATTTAGAGATGAAATTGCATAGTGGGGAGGAAAAAAAAAAACAACTTCAGCCTCTGTTTGTTACTTATCATCTGCTGTCGACTTATTGGTGTATGTTAAACAACCAAAAGGTACATGCCTTTTTACCTCTGTCATGTAAAAACGTTAAATTTTTGAAGCCAGCAAGCCCTCCATTTTCCCTATCAGTATGGCACCTCACTTACTGAGGGGCCCTTTTCCAGCAGCCTTTGCTTTCATCTCCTCAAGTTTCTTTTGCTCCTCCTTCTGCTTTTGTTTAAATGCCAGATCTGTCTAAAGAAAAGAACAACAGTGTTTGTTAACATCTCCTCCCCAAAAAAATTCAAAGACAACTGACAAGCAATGAGAAACCAATGTAAAGTTCTAACAGCAACAAAAACCTGACTGAACTGATGCGAGACAGCTGAATGCTATGAAATATGCAAAACCTTGCAGAACTATGGTGAAGTTTTTTTGCTGTACCAGAACGCAATAACTAAACTTTAACTTTGTATGTTTGATCGTTCTGAAATTAAACAAGTATCGTTTCCCATGGCATAATCTCATTCTGCCCTCTGAATGACAGATGTTTGCACTAAAACCATTCATTAATACGTCACCTGTGATACTGGGAGCCTAGCGCACAAGCGCTGTCTCACAGTAAAACTTGGATTATACAGGATGTAAGGAAAAAAGGTTGCTTTCACTTAAAAAAATGCATTAATTAAAAAAAAATTTCAGTGCATATGTCACTATTTTTGCAGGGTTTAATACATTTGTATTAGTTCCAAGAAATCTAATGAGACCGCTGGCAAATCGTACAGGCAAGCCAGCTGCTGAGCATCGCCGCTGGAAGAGCCTCCAGCATTCAGCAGAGCTCAGCCGTACCCTACCCCTTGGATACACATTCCTCACAGACAGCAGGGCTGAAAGGGACCATGGTCTTTTCCCCTGGCACTCAGGATTTTGGAGTAACTAAACTGAGGACCCTGACAATTTAGATTCTATAGATTCTTCACCAATCCAGTCCATGGGTCAACTACCTTTATAACTGGGGAGTTCTACTCTTCTTAGTTAAAACTTCCCACGCTGCAATGCAAGCCTATTAATTCCCCTGCCTGCCCCTCACAGAACAGAATATTCTGTTACTCTCTCCAGGTTTTCCACTGGGGTTTTTTTCTTGCAGACTAACATGTCTTTCCTAGTAAATCAATCCCTCCCATTTATCTACTTTTGTGGGGCTTTTTTTTCTTGCACTGTGTGCTTGCAGTATTGCAGTGTTGAGAGGAAAATAAATAGTATTACATCATGTCTGACACCCAAAATTTTGTTTATACATCTTGTATGACTTTCTTTATGTTCAGTGTGTGATCTAAGTGTCAAATCCTTTCAGGCAGACCTGGAGTTTAGCCAGTCATTCTCCCTGTGTTTTGTAAGTTGATTAGTCTTACCAAAGAAAGGGACTTAGCATACATGCTTAATTAAATTAATCCATTTTTTCAAACTTTGTTCAATTTGATTACTTTGACTACTAGTCTTGTCCTCTGACAGCCTGCGGCCCCTCCAGATTTTCTGTTTTCTACAAAGAGAATAAGCTGCACCATCAGTCAGTCAACCACCAACCAAGGCGCTAATCAATGTAGTACTTTGGCTTCGATCAAAGACAAAAATCTTGCAAAACCCCACTCACTATGCCCTTGCAGTCAGGCACTGAATTGGTAGTAACTGCTTTTAGAGCGTGGCATTCCAGCAAGCGGCGTGCTCACCTTCCATCACCTTTCGAGGTCCCGTTCCCGCCTTGCGTTTGGGAATGTTACATGAGCTAGCGTCAAGAGCCCCGACTCTACTGGTTTTCTCCTCATACACAGAGCACTGCCCTGCTACAGAACAGAATTGCCTTTGCTGGCCGGTTTTACCAAAATCCATACAAGCTATTACTTTTTAGATTATTATAACCTGGATGCTTGTAAACACTTCAATGGTTTTGACATTTCTCTAACAATACAGCTCACTCAGGAAGCTATGGGGTTTTTTTTTTTGCTTTTTCAAAGAGACATCCTATTTGCCTTTTCCCAGTCAGTGGTGCCTCATCCACCCTCCCCGGTCCTCAGAAGGAGCAGCTTTCACCCACACTCTGGGCCCTTACGTCCAAGTATATTTAACGTAAGGTTCCCTGGCACTCCATTTACTGACACTACTTGATAATCCAGGGTTTATCTGTATCCTGTCCTAGGTTCCTGTGACTGCGTGGATTTGTCAGACGTCAGGTCGCAGCCTGCTGCTTTGGCGAGGACGTTCCAGCCCCCTCCGCCGCACCTTATTCCTCCTGCAGCC